AAATTTTGGCAACAGGAATTCAGACAGTCTCGGAAAACTCTGTTTCAGAAACAATTCGGACTCGAATGGTGAAATAACGTGTGTTCACCATTCGAGTCCCGAGAACTTCATGTTCTGGGGATTCATATATATATATCTTTATTATATGCGGCTTAAGTGTCTGTTTGTCGCCGATAGTTTATTGGTTACTTGCGTAACTGTACTAGCCAATGGGGTGATGTTGCCACGGCATTCAAATAAATAATTCAAATAAATTGTCACGGCATTTTATTATTTTATTATTTAAATCACCTTTATTTATTGAGCTTGCAGTGGCTCTTAAGAAATGTACCGCCAGTGGATTTCTTCATTCCACTCTACTTCAAGCAATTAAGCAAGTAGAAGGGGGAAATCCCGTGGAGCAGTAACCGTCTGCTCTGAGTAATTCAGTTTGAAATAGCAGACACCTTTGCACAAATCATTTTAATTACAATTTATAATATTTAGAACAGCGGTCATTTCGTATGACTGCCGGGCTTTCTAGTATATATATATATATATTAAACAAATTTAAATTCTTAACAAATACGTATAAAAGTAAAAAAGCAAATTTAAATTCTAAAAAAAGAAAAAGCCGAAATAATTTAAAATAATTTTAAATATGCAAACATGCAAAAGATTTAATTCTCGAACTAATCTACAATATCATTTAAATTCAGAAGTATAAGCAAATCAAGTGCAAAATCTATCCATGAAAATAAATCTATTAATTTAATAAATTAAAATTAAATTAAATTTTTTTTTAAAAAATACATATGTGAATGATCGTAGAGTAGGCAGGAGACAGACTTATCAAGGGGAAGTTGCCTCCAAACCTAACTCTCCAATCATTCAATTCGTGTTTCGTCATTCATGCAGGCAAGGGTAAAAGTCAAAACCAAAAGTAATTCCAATAAAGTGGTAAGTATTAAGTCTTTTGAGAAACAAGCAAGTAAAGTCAGAATTAAAATTTTTCTTAAAAAAAAATTTTTAAAAATTAATTTTTAATAAAATATAAAAAAATCTAGAAACCAATGTATTTTAGAATCCTTGTCTACAGAAACTTCCCCTACACGAATATGCATATCAATAAAAAGAAACTATAAAAGAACTATACATAATCCATATAAACCAATAAGAAATAAAAACAAAAGAAACAAAAGAACTAATTCACAATTTTTAAAATAAATATATATTTAAAAATATAATTTCATATTTAGAAAAAATACTTAGATACTATATAAAAATTTAAAAAAAAAATACTTAAAGCAAGTAAATAGTAAGTTTTAATTCTAACTTACCTACTATATGAGTGTTGGGGTTTGCAAAGTGTTGTGAAAGAGAAGTAAGTGGGTTCTTCAAATTATATAGATGGCGCTTATGTAGGTAAAGTTGAGTGTCAAGCTGCTATCTTTGTTATAGTAAAAAAATTTTTGTAAATATTAATTTAATTAAATTAAAAATCCTAAAGGTAGTAAATCTCAATTATTTAGGGAGTTAAGTAACTGAGCCAATCAAGAGATGTATGTTTGCTTGAAGGAAATTAAAGTGAAGTGGTATGTGAAAAAAGTGTAAACTGTTTGTAATTTGAAATGTGTGTTCTGTTGAAAATTGTGAAAATTGTTAAAAATTAAGTGAAAGATATTTTGTGTGAAATTGCAAAAAATTAAAGTAATTAAGAAAAACTGAAAGTTTTTAATATTAAAGTTTAAAGTAAAATTTCCCCAAATTTTTTGAAATGAAGTCCTTAAAAAACCTCTAAAATTCCCAGAAATTTCTCAAAAATTCCTTTAGGAAGTTAAATAAAACTTAAATTTGATGAAAGAAAATATTAAAAGTTTAATGAACTTGATTTAATTGGTATATCAAAACTTAACTAAATACTGGCTAATTTTTATTGTAAATATTTTGTAAATATGTATATTTAATCAATACTGAATTCTTTCCTTTTACTAATAAAGGGCCAACTCTTTTCAAAAGTCTCAATTATAGCCCGAATTGAGTGAAGATTTTAATCCTCTTCTTCTAATTTTCCATACTTTAACCAGTATTTAGTTAAGTTTTGATATATCAATTAAATCAAGTTCATTAAACTTTTAATATTTTCTTTCATCAAATTTAAGTTTTATTTAACTTCCTAAAGGAATTTTTAGAGGTTTTTTAAGGACTTCATTTCAAAAAATTTTGGGAAATTTTACTTTAAAACTTTAATATTAAAACATTCCTTTTTCTTAATTACTTTAATATTTTTGCAATTTTCACACAAAATATCTTTCACTTAATTTTTTAACAATTTTCACAATTTTTCAACAGAACACACATTTCAAATTACAAACAGTTTACATTTTTTTCACATACCACTTCACTTTAATTCCTTCAAGCAAACTTACATCCTTGATTGGTTCAGTTACTTAACTCCCTAAATAATTGATATTACTACCTTTAGGATTTTTTAATTTAATTAATATTAATATTTACAAAAATTTTTTTACTATAACAAAGATAGCAGCTTGACACTCAACTTTACCTACATAAGCGCCATCTATATAATTTGAAGAACACACTTCTTCTCTTTCACAACACTTTTGCAAACCCCAACACTCATATAGTAGGTAAGTTAGAATTAAAACTTACTATTTACTGCTTTAAGTATTTTTTAAAAAAATTTTATGTAGTATCTAAGTATTTTCTAAATATGGAATTATATTTTTAAATATATATTTATTTTAAAAATTGTGAATTAGTTCTTTTGTTTTTTTATTTCTTATTGGTTTATATGGATTATGTATAGTTCTTTATAGTTTCTTTTTATTGATATGCATATTCGTGTAGGGGAAGTTTCTGTAGACAAGGATTCTAAAATACATTGGTTTCTAGATTTTTTTATTATTTTATTAAAATTAATTTTTTTAAAATTTAATTTTTTAAAAAACATTTTTAATTCTTGACTTTACTTGTTTTGTTTCTCAAAAGACTTAATTAGTATTTTTCCTCTTTGAACTTTAATTCTTAAATGTTAATACTTAAATGTTAAATTCTAAGGGTACCACTTTATTGGAATTACTTTTGGTCTTGACTTTTACCCTTGCCTGCATGAATGACGAAACACGAATGAATGATTGGAGAGTTAGGTTTGGAGGCAACTTCCCCTTGATAAGTCTGTCTCCTGCCTACTCTACGATCATTCACATATGCATTTTTTTAAAAAAATTTTTTAATTTTAATTTATTAATTAATAGATTTTTTTCATGGATAGATTTTGCACTTGATTTGCTTATACTTCTGAATTAAATGATATTGTAGATTAGTTCGAGAATTAAATCTTTTACATGTTTGCATATTTTTAAATTATTTTAAATTATTTTGGCTTTTTTTTTTTTAGAATTTAAATTTGCTTTTTTTACTTTTTTACTTTTATACGTATTTGTTAAGATTTAAATTTGTTTAAATTTAAATTTCATTCCTTGCAGCATGGCGCAAAGAATATTTAATTAAATATGTATTTAAATTTAATTTTTTAAAAATTAAACTCAATTATTCTTATGAAACATATATATATATATGAAAGCCTTCAGATTTTATACTACCCCCAGACGCGATTTTTTTTTTTTTTTTTTTTTTTTTTCATTTTCATACACGTTTCATTTGGGCTGACTCCTCCTTTAGGCTAAAAATATTTAAAAACAGCATATATTTAGAATTTTCGATAGACAGTGTTGCGCGCTGGAGATAAAAATATTTTAATCTGTATAGTCTTGCCATTGCTCGCTTTGAAATTGTTGAGTATTTTTATATTTTTAATCAAGAATTCCTTATAGCTTTACAGAATATGAAATAGATAATAAAATAAATTTGACATTCAAAATGCGGGCTTCCAAGTGCCCATATTCGGGTGGATGTGCCAATCCCGGAGAAGGAGGAGAAGGCATAGTTATGTTATATTATGGTTATTTAGAAGTGAGGGGGGCCAACCTAATATTTGCCCTAAGTAAGCAGGTATTAGCCCCACACACTAACTAAAAACTAACAAATTCTGGCATGATTTCTCGAGTCGTGATGGAAAATGTGACTCCAGGGAGCACTATAAGTACTGCCACCGGCGGCGGCATGAACGGTACTCCTTCGTTTCAGCGTTAAATTAGCTTAAGTAAAAGGGATTGAATTACATGATATACATTGCGAAATACATAGTTGTGCAGGTGCATATTTTGAAGATGTTATCTATTAGTTGGTACAGACAACATGTTTCAGGACATTATATATTGCATTAGAAAAGAAGGCATAGTTGTAACTATTATTGATAGGAGGCAACGGAGGCCACCTATTAGGTGCTTCCATAATGAAATGGCCACCACTTCCCGGCCTTGTAGTGGCGCAAGGTTAATGCTTATTAAATAAAGCCCCCGGCCATTAAGATATATATATATATATATATTCGGGTGGAGGACTACGTTATTCAACATTTTATGGCTCTAGGTACCGTTGTTGTTTCACAATTCAAGAAACATACATGCTTTTATGCAGGTTCTTCATTATTAAATTTCTTTAATACAGGGCGATCATATTTAGTGGAACAATCTGAAAAGTGATTCCACGTAAAATGCCATTTCGAGACTAATAGCCCTTCTGTATCGTCATTAATTCGTCTTTTGTTTCTGTATCTTGTGAATTCTATCCTTAATCTCGCTTTATTTGGCCTATCTTGCCTTGCTCTTTCAAGTTAACCGTATTGAAGTTTTTGATACAGATTTTCAGAGTTACATTTGCAGTCTCAAATCAATCGCAGAAGAAACTATACTTGTTGCGTATTTGTATTGCCATCGAACATCAAATCTTCAGCCTTTTCGATAATAGTTTATGTCCATATTTAAACTCCATCTAAAAAAATATTTTTAAAAGGTTTGATAGGTCACATAATCACGAAGCATTTTCAAAAATCGGTGCGAATTATTAAACGCACAAGTGACTTGAAAATACTGCAGTAGCTTTAGATAATATTTAATAGAATGCAACAGATGGAAATAAGAAATATATCTATTTAATTTTCTCTGCCTACGTAATTTTCATGTCTAAATCGATATAAAAATACAAGACAAGACATTCATAACAAACATATCACTCATTTGTTTATAAAAGTGCACCAAAAAAAAAAATGCAGTCAAGATTTAAATTCAAATGCTGGTTTTCACTGGTTTCATGCACTGGCGACATATTTATCTAAAGTCTTTTGGTCGTATCTTTATAACAGTATCTTTCAAAGAATACTTGTAACCTCGAAAATCCCTCCAGTTAACACCATCAGCATGAGTTTCATGTGGACCTTTAAGATAATATCCATTCAGATTTGAAGCGTGGCATCCTGTATACCACCAAGTACCTTTGTAAGCAACAGCACAATTTTTCGGATCCTTATCATTGTCTCGATCCTTTGTAGTAAATGCCATACCATCTTTCATCGAAAAAGAATCACCTGCAATAACAATATATTTTATGAAAGAATATCTTAAGCAATATTTTCCTTTGGATAATAAAGAAATAGAACAATAAAATGCTTCCCATTCATTACAACAGGCTTCGTGTGAATTTGGTTTTCCTATTAAAAGAGCTTTTAATGAAAGTGAATTTAGCTTTTAAAATTTTGCATTTACAATACTTCTAAAATTCACGTAATTTAACTTGTGGCGGTTTAACTGCACTTGGACTCTTAATTACTTAAGTGCAACTTTAACTAAAAAAAAAAAAAAAAAACTTTATCTATCTAACAGTAACTGTATCTATACCTTGGTTAGTTGGGTAGTCTAACTTGTTTTTATGCGATGTAAAAGTTGTTACGTTATGAAGATGATTAGTGATTTATTTTACTAGCGAATAACTGCTCTTCCAGTATCACGAAATTGCGTTATAACCTAGCCCAGTAGTACTTCAACAAACTTTTGCCATGAACAGATGCATACAGAGTGAATCTGAATAAATGGGCGAAGCTGTAGGAGGTGATAGAAGGCAGCTATACAGCTATTCGTCATAGAATGTATGGTCGGAACGCAAACGACGAGCATCTAGGTGGCCGGTCCTCGCACCAACGGCCTTTTCTACCGTGGTTTACCGAGACAATGGCTAGTTATACGAATCACAAAATTTCTAGGGTGATGGACTGATCGATGTGGTCCCATAGCTGAAAGCTCATTGGCCACCAAGATCACCGGACTTATCGTGTTTGGACTTTTTCCTGTGGGGCCATATGAAAAGCCTAATCTACGAATGCCCTATAGAAACGAATATGGATATAATCGTCAGGATCGCTGTTGTTGCCGGCGATGTCCTGGGACATTTAAAAAATCTCATATTTTATAAAATAGGGTCCACAAATTTTCAATGTTACATAGATCATTGAAAAATATTAAAACGATAGTGAGCTGAATGAATATGCATACATAACTTTGGAACAGAGAGAACACGGGAGTTTGTGACATTGGACTATTTGGATAGCTGTTGAGACAAACATTATGCTATGAGTGTGGTAGAACGAAATACGTCTGAAAACATTCGTGGTCGAAACTGGATTGGAGCTTAGCAGATAGACATCGTTTGCTTTGCTAAAATCGAATAAAATAATCACGGATTCACCAAAAATGAAGATATATATGTATACATATATGTCCCTTATAATTTATGTTTCTCATCGTCAATGGACCTATGATTTTATTTTACTTAATTTACTTATTTTAATTAAAACCTTGCGTAAGTTTCTGCGTAATCAATACGTAGTTTCTATGCAATTAATCTAATTCATTACGTAAGTTTCTAGAAAATTTAAAGTCGGTATCAGAAATAAATCTAGGTGTTATTAAAAAAAATTGTAGGATCTGCCTGAAAATTTATCTACGAATTGAAAAAGTAGAGAGCTAATTTTTAGAAAATTCCCATTGTATGTAACAGTATTAATCTGAAATGATTGCAAATTAATAAATGAGGCATAATTTAAAGTATGTCTACCGAGAAGCGCTCTTAAAATTTTATTTCACACGAAGCTTTTACTTTAGAATGATGAATTATTACGAAGAACATATTTCTCTTTTACCAATCCAGAAATCTTTCTGTAGGTCCCCGAAACCATTTTTGTACTTCAACCAGTCTCGAAAGAAATAATCCTTAGCACTGTCGAAATCGCTACGTCGCTGAAGAACCTAAAGACAATAACAATAATGAAAGTTAATATTCAACTGGTAAATACAGCTTACAGTATTTTAATTAACACATTAAGTAACCACACATTTTAATATCAGTTAATTTAGTTTTTATTTTTTCTGGCCTTTTTGTGTTCCCTTCCGCTTACATCAGATGGAACGGAGATCTAGATTAAAGGAAAGAGGATTCTCTAATCGAAAAACTCGACAAAAGGAGTTTCAGCAAAATACTAAGAAACGAAGAAAGTTAGTTAATAGAAAGAGGAAAACGGTTCAGTTAAAGTCAATTCTAGTTCAATTAAAGCTGCATTACCTACTTCTAGTGATTTGGTTCGGTTTATGTGATTACGGCAAAGCCTCAGGAGCTTCAGGTATAACAGTGAAAACTGCTGAGTTGAAAAGAAAGTATTCTGTGTATATTCTGGTTTTCGTTTTGTAATTATGATTTCCATAAAAGAAAATAAACAAATACGAAAAAAAATGAGATTTACGTTACAATGTAGAGTACGCTTTTCAAGTTTTCCGGCTTTATGATTGTTCATGTCCGGGAAAACAAACAAAATCGAGGAACAAATGAAATTTTGGATTCAGCTTGTAATATTTTAGTATTACTTTTTTCCTCGTTTAATAGCTACAAAACAAGTAATAAAAGAAAATAAAATCTGAAAGCTTCCAGATTTTATATTACACCTGAAGGAGCATTGTAGTATTTTATACTTAAAAGTTTTAATATAAAATTGGTGTAATTATATCATTGAAATAATAAAGGAAAAATAAAATAATCACTCTATAATGGCATTTCAGTGACTTGAATTACAATGTAATTTACTCTTTTTAAGTTTTAATGTTTTGCCATTCTCACTTATTGATTACATATATTCTAGAAAAGAAATCAACACTAACAAAATTCCTTGTTTGAAAGTTTTCTCAGCTTTACTGTTTTACTATTTTCTTCTTCCGGCTTTATGATTATTCATTGTTTCGGAAAATTTATTTTGTCAACGTTTTGAGACTTAATGAGAGACTAATGCTGTTTGCATCAAGCCGAAATTATGAATGCCTATTTTTACTTTTTACAATAATAAGCATTTTCTAATTTGCATTCCAATGCTTTGCGGGCCCACCAGCAGCCAAGTGGTAAAGTCGCTGAACACTATTAGTTGGGGTCAGAGCTCGAATCCCATCGAAAGGGATGACTGCATTAATTCTGCATTCATTTCATGATTTTCTCCATGTGTAACGTGAATATGAGCCAGTTTCTCTTAGAAACTCCTGCCACGAAAGCGGCCATCTCCTTAGGCAGATAACCCCTCGAGTGTTGTGACAAAATTAAATAAACGAAATAAATGAATATTTTGCCCTACGCTAAAGAAAGAGATGCATATTTTATCAAATATAAGTAAGACATTTGTCGATTTTAAGTTACAACCTACTTTTCTTCAATGTTTTATGACTTTCTCTCTTTGAACAGAACTGAACAATAATTTTGCAGTCTCATAGTTAGGAATGGTGTCAAAATTATCATTTTCGCATGCAGACCACTTTTGAATTCGTTATAATGAGCTCAACAACAGGGCCAAATTTAGAATATAAACATTTTCATCATGTAAAAATTCTTCTTCTTGTCAAACTATTTTTTAACATTCTTTAACTCTTTCATAATCGTCTATGCTGCTGGTCCAACAGCCGCCGAAAGGAATGAGTATTCAATCACTGGTAATTCAAATTACGGAGAACGGGCAGGCTACATAGAAGTTTTCGTGGCTTTCCTCATGTGTAACAGAAATGAGAGCCAATCTCCCAAAGAATCTCTTCCACGAAGACAATCCTTTCCTTAGGCAGTTAACACTAGTGTGCTTTAATAAATAAGACCCTAGACTAAGTCACAAGCTGTTGAGTACCGTCTCAGTCTAGTCAAATGTATTCTGTCTAAAGGGCTTTGCATTATTTGCCTACGCAAAGTCTTATTGTACTCTCTCCGATAATCTTGTGTATTTCCTTTTTCTGTCCTGCCTGTTGGTTATATTAATTTTCTTAGATATACTCTATTACCAATTGATGTAGATGTTAAATTATAAGCTTATTCTTTATTTGTTTGTTTGTTTTTAAATCTTGTGCATTTTGCTTATACAGGGTGATTCAGAATTCACCATCAATATTTGGTGGGGAGGTAGGGAATAGGAAAAGAAGGAGATTTCACATAGGAATGCATGGGCGCGTATGCCATGTAGTAGGGCAAAATGACCCCAGTTTCAATGATGGAAAGAACACATAAGAAGGAAGTAGTAAGGGAAAAAAACATTTACTATCTTACATGTAACATTTCTTTGCATCGGTTTTACAGACTTACAAGAGGTGCTCGAACTGCTGACCATGTGCTAGAATGCATGACTCACAACGGCTTTGCATGGACAACCGGATCTTCTGGAACATGCCTGGCATTTACATATATATCTGCAAGTTCATTCCACGTATACCGGTTCATATTACTTCTGCAAAGTCACCTAGTCGAATGATGACTGGCTGCACACTTAGACAGTTCTATATTACCGAGCTATTGCAGGTGCAACGTTGCCGGTTCCTTAAATTCAGCCCAAGAGCACATGACATAATGAATTCAGGAAATGGAAAACATCTCGGATGAGAAAACGGAGAAAGGAAAAGTGAGAGGGGTACCAAAAGGAAAAAGGCCAAAGGCATCTAGCAGGTGAACAGAACTTGACAAGATGAAGAGCTGGCTGCACACGGTGAATTACGGTAGTCTGAAGTATTCGGTCTATCGGCCTTTACTCGAAAAGTTAGTATCCCTACTGGGCAGTCTTAGTGAAAATCTTAAACAGTACACGTTGTACGTCTTCCTTGGCGAAGCAATAAATGACGCCTAGACTTAGCGAGATCAAATACAACACCCAGTGCATTCTGTTTGATTGAACATGCAGAGTAGTGAAGGGAAGAATAATGACTTCCAATATCATTAAAAATTGTCCGAGTAATAAAGTTTTTGTATTTTTCGTAAGATAAATATTCAAAGTTCATGGAAAAATACCAAAATTTTAAAAAAGATGAAGTAGAATTAATGAAAAAAAATTTGTTGGCGGGACTTATCCTTGATCAATGCTATTATGTCCAATAGTCATCTGACGAAAACACATTCTGAGTAACTTGAGCAAAGATTATTTACAATACGATTTCAATAAAACTTGAACTTCTGGGATAAATATTAGCAATTTGAGCTAAAAAGATTTAGCAAAAATTATTTACAACACTTTACGAGTTCTAATTAAACTTGATCTTCTGGGATAGATAACAGGATAAATAACGAAATTTCTTGAGTAAATATATACAAATGCGTACATAGATGTTTGAATACTTCCAATTATTATTATAGAAAATAGTCCTAGGACGTTTGAAGGGCTGGTTAATGCGGTGATCGTAATTTCCTAGATATCTAATGACATTGTGCTGATGATTATCACATTTGGAGTGAAAATGTTTAAATAATTTGAGAATTTCTTCGTTGATGGTGTTAATCTTCAAACTTTTTCTTATGACGGTGTTCCTGACGAACCATTGAGAGTCTGACATAATTCGTAAGTGAATATTTTGTTGGCTTTGTAATTTGGATCTGTGGGTATTGGAGGTAGCAGCCCAAGCTGGAACTGCATATAGAACTATTGGACGAATGGATTGCAAATAAATTATTCTTTTGGTAGCATATTGGAGTTGCGATTTTCTTCCTAATAGAGGATAAAGCGTCATATATGCTTTTTGAGCTTTCTCTTTCACGTAGTCTGTATGTTGACGGAAGGTTAATTTCTTATCAAGGAAAACTCCTAGATGTTCCTAAGGCATTTGGAGCCCACCAGCGGCCGAGCGGTAACGTCGCTGAACACTGGTAGTTCGGTCCGAATCCCGCGAACGGGCTGGCTGCATGGGTGTTTTTGTGGTTTTCTCCATGTGTAACGTGTACACTAGCCAGTTTCCCAGAAAGTCCTCCACGAAGGCATCCCTCCTTTAAGGCAGATAGCCCTCGAGAGTTTTGCCGTAATCTAATAAACCAAACCAAACCAAAGGCATTTGGGCTAAAATATTAAAAAATAGCATATATTTAGAATTTCCGATTGACAGTCTCTCGCGATGGAGGTAATTTTTTTTCCCGTACAGTGTTGCCACTGCTCGTTTTCAAATCGTTGAGGTTCTCTTCTAATGATGTCGTTATTGATTTTGATAGCCTCGAAATTTCCTCTGAGAGTTTTATTGCTGAAAAGAACGACTGTTGATTTTTCAGTATTGATTTTCATTTTCCATTTTGTAAACCAGCTTATTAATTTGTCGGTGGATTCTTGCAATTTAATTAAGGCCATGTGGGGATTCATAGATTTGCATAGAACGGCTGTGTCGTCTGCATAATATGCAGTCTGGCTGCACACGTCAAACAGTTGTACTTATGTATAGAAGTTGTGTACACACAGCGCCCTCTACACCACCATGCGTTCGTCTGCGCCCATACTTTCCTATGCAAAATCTCTTTCTTTTCCTATTCCCTACCTCCCCACCAAATATTGATGATGAATTCTGAATCAACCTGTATTTTGTCGTTAATCGACTTAAACGTATTTTAGTACTAGTTACCTGTTGATTGTACTTATTTTTGTTTGTTTTAAATATTATGTGCTTTATTCTTATATACTGTTCGACTGAATTTCGGTTACATGTTTTAGTGTAGTTTGAAATTTTTCAATGTTTTTGTATAGTTATTTTCGTGTTTTATGCTCCTGAAAATGTAACAAAATAGGAGCAAATTATTTTTATGATGCAGGCCCAAATGTCGTGGTTTCAGTTTTTACTATTTTCTTCTTCACATGTTTACCTGTAACACATAAATTCATAAAAACCGGAGAAGAAATCTTTATTTGTACAAATATGCTTCAGTTATTACGTTTTGCTGATTTTTGTTTTGTAATTATGCTTGCTATAAAAGAAAGTAAACAAATACAAAA